CCAGCGCCCGCCGGCTGGAGCCGCCTTAGAAGCTGACTATGCGATTATTTTAGTGTCCTCTGTTTCGCCCCTTTCTTCCTCCTCCCTCCCCCCTCTTCCTTTTCTCCCCCCCTCTCCTCTCCTGCCGCTGCCGCCGCTGCCGCCCCACCACATAGTGCTATCGTGAGAGATTGAAAGATTCGCTCCGTGTGGAGCTGCACTCGTGGGGGGTTCCCGAGTGCCCTTCGGGCCCTAGGCTCGCGTGATCGTTCACGGGGCTCTTTCTCATGTAGTCATATAACTATGCAGTTTTTCCCCGTTTCCCCAGCTGCGCGCAACGGCTCGCCTATTGCAGGTTGGCCTGAGCGTTGCTCCTGGTGCCTCGGCTGGTTCGCCCGCCTCTCCCCCCTCCTTTTCCTCCCTCGCCCTCCGCCGCCCCGCCTCCGCCCCTGCCCACCCGCCCCCATGTGAGTACTTCAGCCCCGGGGCCACGCGAGCACTTTAGCCCCCGGGGCCACGTGAGTACTTTAGCCCCCGGCGGCGAAGTGGTCTTGCAATGGCGAAACCATGCAATAGTATAGTCGAACACCACATCTTGGCCGCCGCCTGTCCTGGGGGGCAGGATTTGTCCGCCCCAGCCGCGTGGTGTGCAGTTTCGGTGTCTGCTCCCATCTTCCCCCTCCCCCCCAAAAAAAATTGGTGCATGTTTGGGGTGTCTTTTTATTTTTCGTCGAAAATCCCTCTGTAGGGGGACAGGCCCGACTTAAGTCAAGAACCCTGACCTCCCAGAGTGTTAGAAGATAGCCCTCCAGACCTAAAGAGCTCTCTGGGCGGCTGAAAACCCTGACAGGAATTTAGATGTCGAGATCCTGGTGCAGTCTTCTGGCCCTCCTGGAAGGTCTGGGAAAGATGATCCAACCAGGGGTTGGTCTCCCCGGCCGATCTAGTTGAACTGCTCAATGTTCAATATCACTGTTTATGTTCGGGCCCCTTGGAATTGAATTCCGCATCGGCCAACGCAATCATGGAGTTGGAAGCCCCAGAACTGAACATCTGACAAGGTGTAGTTCTGGACTCCCGAATTGAAATGTAGGGTTGTCGAACTTTGAAACCAAGCATTGAACTTTCATTCCAATTTTCGGCTTCAAAGCCAGAACTGAAACTTGACCTCCAAAATTGAACTTCCGATCCCGTGGGCTGGGCCAGAGGAGGAAACGGGGGAGGGAGCCAGGATACCCCAGGGGACGGCGCACTCAGCGGGGGGCCGCAGGCGGATCGGGCGGGCGGGACACTCAAGTATGACGCTCAATCGAGACAGCACGCGCCTACCCCAACGGGCGGGTCGGATCGGGCGGGCGGACCCCATGGGGCAGGAGACTCGGGCGGCGCGCGGGGCCCTACTTGACGGGCGGGGGGGGGAGCGGCGGGTCGGGCGGGCGGGGCATCAAAAGGATGACGCGAACTCGAGGCAGCGCGCGCTTGCTCGGAAGGACGGGTCGGGTCGGGCGGGCGGGTCGGACGGTGGACGGGGCCCTGAGAGAGGGCTGTCAGTGGCAGGGAGGGGGAGGAAGGAGGAGGAGGTGGAGGAGGAGGAGCAGGAGCAGGAGCTAGCAGGAGCAGGCAGGAGCAGGGAGAGGAGCAGGGAGCAGGAGCAGGAGCAGCAGGAGCAGGAGAGGAGGAGGAGGAGGATAATGGGGAGAAGGAGAAGTAGGAGGAGGAGGAGGAGGAGGAGAGAGCGAGGAGGAGGAGGAGGACAAGAGGAGGGGGGAGGAGGAGGAGGAGGAGGAGGAGGAGGAGGAGGAGGAGGAGGAGGAGGAGGTGGGGGACGAAGACAGGTCCAGGAGGGGGAGGAGGAGGAGGATCAGGATAAGGCTGTCGCTTGAAAAAGGCGCCTGCCCCGTAAATTTTTACGTCGGTCGTAGGCCGAGTCAGCGGGGAAAAGGGGGAGGGCGGGGACGAGATATAGGACGAGGCGGGCGCGACATTAGAGCAGACCCAGAAGTCAGCGAGGGGCGGTGCCCGTCTGGCAGTTCGTGCGAGTGAAGGGCTCAAGCGGGCGGGCGGGGCTGATCCCCGCGGGTGAATCGGGCGGGCGGGACATCACAAGAAATCTACATGTAGCCTGGCAAGCGCACTCACACTGGTCACCCGAGCGCGCTGGGGATCGGGCGGGCGGGACATTATGCTCGGGACATCCGAGCATGTGCTCCAGCCAGCAGGACGGGCGGAACTCTTCTGGCAGGCAGTGCGGGCGGGTCATTCAGCGGGGGGGGGGGGGCGTGGGCGGATCGGGCGGGCGGGACATGAATGTATGACGCACAATCGAGACAGCATGCAGATACCCAAATTCGGGCGAGTCGAGTCGGGCGGGCGGACCCTCACGGCTGGGCGGGTCGGGCGGCGAGCGGGCTTTGTGACGCAGCACTCGAGGTACAGTCAAAAACCCTAATAAGGACGCGCGACTTTGCGTCCTTGCTCTTCCTAGCTCTTGCGTCCTTGAGGTTTTCGTCGTCCGCCGCCCCAAAAATCCCAACTTCGGCTTCCAAGGGTCTTGCGTCCTTACCGCGCGTCCTTATTAGGGTTTTTGGCTGTACCATGCGCTTGCCCTAGCGGACCAGTCGGGTGGGGCGGGCGCCGGGTCGGGCGGGCGGGACATTCTGGTGTGACGCAGCTCTCGAAGTACCACGCGCGTTGCCCTGTCGGACCGGTCGGGTGGGGCGAGCGCCGGGTCGCGCGGGAGGGGGCTTAAAGCCTTCTCGAGGCAGCACCCGCTTGCCCTAGCGGGCCGGTCGGGTTGGGCGAGCGCCGGGTCGGGCTGGCGCAACACTCAAGTGTGACGCAGCTCTCGAGGTAAGTCGCGCTCGCCCTCCTCATTTCAAGACTGGTCGGGTCGGGCGAGCGCCAGGTCGGGCGGGCGGGGCATCAACGCATGACGCAGGTCTCGAGGTAGCACGCGCAGGTCGGGCGAGCGGACCGTGACTGGCGGGCTGGCGGGGGGACGGGCGGGCGGGACACGAAAGTATGACGTAGGCATGAGGTGTTACGGTTTTTTTATCGTTTCAGGAGGAGGAGGTGGAGGAGGACGAGGGCGGGAGAGGAGGATGGAAGACCGTTCTCGCCCTTGTCCTCGCTGGTCTTTGAAATCGGCAGCAGCAGCAGCACGAGGAGGAGGAGGAGGGCAAGGAGGAGGAGCAGCAGCAGCAGCAGTAGCAGCAGCCTACTGGAGCCGAGCTCGGCCAGGGGACGGCGGAGTAGGAGGGGGGAGGATGAGGCACGTGAGCGAGGTGCGGGGAGTGGGATTTGAGCTGGCCCCTGCTCGAGACGTCCTTGCGGCTTGCCTGGGAACGAGGGCCCCTCTGAAAAAGTCCGAGAGGCATCCTCACAGTTTGCCGAGGGACGAGGCACCCGCTCGAGGCCCTCCTCGGCATGTGCCCCGAGGCGACGTGTTCAGCGGGCCGAGCGAAAGTTCAATATTGGATCTCCCAACCCCAGAATTGAAGCAGCCACCCAATATTGAAGTTTCGGTCCTCTTCCGAATACCGATACCGGACCAACACCTCGAGCTTGAACCTCGGTTTTCGCGAAGTTCATTAATTCAATCAGGAGTTTGGCAAGTCCATTTTTGGTCTTTTGCAATCTGGAGTTTGGGAAATCCAGTATTGAAGATGGGGGTTAACCTTCTTCAACTCCAGAGTCGGAGCCGTAATATATCGGGGATCGGGTGCTGGTTGTGTTCACTGGGAGGGAGTGAAGCAGCGGGGGGGCGCCCAGGAGGAGCCCCGAACAACCCCCTCCTAGGCTGGGTTCCAAGGAGGCCTGAAAAGGGGCCCTGCAGAGGGCTCCTTCGGACCCCCGATGCTCACCCTGATTCCCGCGTGGCCGTCAACGACCGCCGAGGACAACGCGCGGGGCCTGCGATGGGGAGGGACTCACCTTCAGCACGAACTTTAAGCTGGGCCTGCCCCCCTGCAGATGGATTTGGAACGATTCTTTTTTATTATACTAATAAAAATAATAACAATAATTATAATACTAATAACATCCCTCGACCACCCCTCCTCTGTTGACCCCCCCTGTAGCGACCGCTCGATCGTCGCTCCCGGCCCCGGCGCCCGGGTCCTGCGCCCGCGCCGCGGCCCGGCCACCGCAGCTGCGGGGCGTGGCGCCGACGGCGCGGGCGCACAGGCCGCCGCCGGCGACGCGGCAGCACCCGCTGCGGCCCCCGAGGCGGCGCCCACGCTGATCTTCGTGGACGGCACCTGGCGGCAGGCCATGACGACGACGATTATGATGATGATGATGATGATGATGATGATGATGATGATGATGATGATGATGATGATGATGATGGTGATGGTGATGGTGATGGTGATGATGATGATGATGATGATGATGATGATGATGATGATGATGGTGATGGTGATGATGTTGATGCTCATGCTCATGCTCATGCTGATGATGCTGATGCTGATGCTGATGCTGATGTTGATGCTGATGGTGATGGTGATGGTGATAGTGATAGTGACGATGGTGGTGATGACGATGAGGATAATGAGAATGATGATGATTTGGGTACGATTATATATTGCTGATGGTGACGATGCAGATGATGCTGACGGTGCTGATGCTGATGCGAATGCTGACCGTAATGATGATACTGAGGATGAGTGTAAGGATGGTGATGTTTGTGAGTATGAGGATGAGGATGATGAATATGCTGATGAAGGCGATGATGATGTGATGATGATGCTGATGATGAGGATGATGATCATGAAGAAGAGGATGCGGATGCGGATGATAATGACGATGATGACGGTGATGGCGAGGGAAGAAGTATAATAGAGAATGATGGTGAAGATGCTGATGCTGCTGATGATGATGCTGATGCTGATGATGCTGCTGCTGCTGATGATGATGATGATGATGTTGATGATGATGATGATGATGATGATGATGATGATGATGATGATGATGATGATGATGATGATCACAGTTTGGGCACCTGGCGGCAGGCCAAGCAGATGGTCTACAGGTCGCCCTGGCTGCAGAGGCTGCCGCGCGTTTGCCTGGACCCGGAGCGGGAGAGCGGCTACGCGTTCCGGCGGCAGCCCGAGAAGGACTGGCGATGCGCAAGAGTGATGTTTCGCGGGAGTGACCTTCGATGTGGGCACAGTGGGTCCCCGAGAGGGCTGAATGCGATGTGATGGCAGCGGCTTGCACGCTCTGGTTCGGCCTCCCCGCGGCCCCCGAAATTCGTGCGCCAAAGGCCACTCGTGCCTGGGGTTCACTCCTGCGCGCCGCCGGCAGGAGTGCCTGTCCACCCTGGAGGCCGTGGGAGAGTGCCTGGTCGCTCTGGAGAGCGACGCCGCGCGCGCCCGTCGGGTGGACGCCGCCCTGAGCCGCATCTTCTCGGCGATGGTGGAGCAGCAGGCGTCCTTCGTGCCCGCGGCCAGGCCCAAGGACCGAGCACTTTCTCTGGGTGGAGGGCAAAGGGTGCAATCTGAAGTGCCGTTTCGATGGATCTTCGAGGCTCGAATCTGCAAAAGGTGACTCACAAGACGGATTGATTTTCGAGGTGCAACAGCCCATGTGGATTTCACCCCGAGCCCTCCACCCTGAGAAAATGCTCAGCAGGAGGCCAAGAGCGGCGGAGGCGGTGCTGCAAGCGAGGGCGCGCCGGAGGGGCAGGGTGCCCAGGGCGCGCCCGGGCCGCGGTGCAGCTCGTGGTGCCTGGTGCGCTGGCAGCGCAGCGCGGAGGGCGTGATCCTCCGCGGGCTGGTGCAGGAGACGCTGAGGAAGTCGACCTACGAGGAGGCGCTCGCCCGCGCCAAGGGCCTCTCGGCGGGCAAGGCGGCGCCGCAGAGGCTCCACGTGGTCCCTCTGGACAAGGTGAGGCGCACCAAGCGCATCGGTGCGCTGGAGTTCGTGGAGGAGGGGCCACTGGGAGACGCGTGCGAGGTCCAAAATCAGGAGGGGAAAAAACACACAGACACACTTAATCGGCGATTCCCAGAAAATATGGGAAAATATGGGAAGTGGGGGGGAAGACAAGAACCCAGAAAATATGGGAAAATATGGGGGATAATTTGATTTGTGTGTATTTGTTTGTGTGTCCCAATTCCCCTTCACAAAAGCCCACTCTACTCTCGCGAGTGGTGCGGTTGTGTATGTGCTGCCAGCTTGCCGCGGGGTCTGGAGCCTCTCTCGGCCCGTCTCTCCCGAACGCGTGCTCGTTGGAGAACCGTGGATGTGATGTCGCGTTTGTCAGTGGCGCAGTCTCGCCGGTGCGTGCGCGTGTGGAATGGATGTGGTTTGCGTGGCAGGTCTGGAGGTTGATGCGTTTGTTTGCGTTTTCAGTCAACAGCAGCCTGAACCAGGTAACAGCGGATAGCGGACGTGAACCTACAGGATGTTGTGTTCGTTTGGCCGGATAAGTTTGACAACACTCCACTGCCGATCGCGGAGGCGCATTGCCATTCCGTCTGCAACAGTGTCTGCACTTAGGGGTTCCTACAGTGCCGTTTTTAATACATGCTCCGCGTGCGGATCATGTATTAAGCATGCAGGGATGTAGTATTGAAAACAACGATGAGTTCACGCATAAATTTATTCATCAATTAACGATGTATTAAAACAAATCCAATATGTTTAAACATCCTATGTATCAAAAACTGCCCTCTACTTGTCCTGTAAGGAAACGGAGCCTCGGTGGCTGTCTGGCCAGTTCGTCGCCACCCGTCGCCGCCCGCCGCCACCGTCGCCGATGGGCTGCGGTGGTGGTCCAGCTGGCTCGTCGCCACCCGTCGCCGCCGTCGCCTGTTGGGTCCGCGCGGCGGTCTGGCCGGCTCGTCGCTGCCCATCGCCGCATTGCTCTGCTATTCATTGCTTTGCATTGCTCTGGATCGCTTTGCATTGCTTTGTCTGTTGCATCAGGCTGCATTGCTTCGCATTGCGTTGCATTGCTTTGCATTGCCTTGCATCGCATTGCATTGCACCGGTTTGTCTTGCTTTGCATTGTTTTGCATCTCATTGCCTCGCTCTACGTTGCTGTGCATTGCGTTGCACTGCTTGGCTCTGCGTTGCATTGTTTTGCATTGCTTTGCATTGATGTGCATAGCGTTGCATTGTTTTGCATTGCTTTGCGTTGCTGTGAACTACATTGCATTGCTTTACGCCGCATAATTTGCACCACATGAGTTGCACCACCTAGACCGCACTGCATAATTTGCAAGAAAATCAATGTTTGAGGTCCAGGCTGGCTAACATTTGTCCAACATGCCGCCCGCCACTGCCTCTGGACGCCCAGAACCCTTCACATATAATTCATCTGACACCTTTTCTCCTCCTCCTTCTCCTCCTCCTCCTCCTCCTCCGCCTCTCCCCTCCCCTCCCCTCTTCCTCCCCCTCCTCCTCCTCCTCCTTCTCCTTCCTCAACCTCCTTCCTCCCTTCTTCCTTGCCCCTTCTCAGCCCTCCTCTTATCCTCTCTTCTCCGTCTATCCGTCCCTTCCCCCCCGCAGCCAGACTCCTCGCTCAAGAGTGGCCCCCAGACCCCCTCACTCGTCTTTCGAGCCGTGCCCGCTAAGGCGACGAGGGGCCTTCCCCCGACGGGAAACGAAGCAGCAAGGAAGAGGGAGGATGGTCCAGGCCAAGCTCTCTCCTCCTTGCTTCTCGTCCTCCTCCCTCCTCCCTCCTCCTCCCCTCGTTTGCTCCCTCGCCCTCCCTCCTCCTTCTCTTGCTCCTCGCCCTCCCTCCGCCCTCCTCCTTCGTCGAGCACGCGAGAGCGAAGCCGCGCGCCGCATCTTCCTCCTCCGGCCTCTCCTTCTCCCTGTGCCTTCGCTCGCGGCCGCCTGGAATGCCACGGAGCACACGGGAGCCTGCTGGGGATTACCAAAGTCTCCAGATTTCTCATGAACTCTCATCCCTGCTATTCCTCCCTTCTCCCTCCTTTCTTCCCTCCCTCCCTCCCTCCCTCCCTCCCTCCCTCCCTTTCCTCCTCCTCCTCCGCCTCCTCCTCCTCCTCTTCCTCCTCCTCAGCCCCCTTCTCTTCCTCCTCCTCCCCCTCCTCCTCCTCCTCCTCCTCCTCCTCATCCTCCTCTTCCTTCTGCTCCCCCTCCTCCTCCTCCTCCTCCTCCTCCCCGACGGCGACGGCGACGGCGGTGACCGGTCCTCTCGCCTGGGGCGCAATCTGACCAGGAGCTCGTCGAGACGGACACAGCCGTGGCGGCGAGCGCGCCCCAGGAGGCCCCAAGGACGCAGAAAGTGCGTCCACCTCGAGCCCCGATCCCTGGCCCTGGGACGATCGAAGCACGTCAGAGGAGGAACAGCCCGCCCTGTGGAAAGGGTCTCGAGATCCCCGGGGGCCCAGGTCACGAGCAGATCGCGACAGCGAGGGGGAGAGCGCAGGGCAATCCAGGCCTTCCACATGGCGGGCCCCAAGAAAGGGCGTCGTCTTCGAGGGATTAGTCGATGGCGGCGGCGACGACGACGACGACGACGACGACGACGACGACGACGACGACGACGACCTCGCCTGGGTCTCAAGGGCCGCGCCCTGGCGGCCTCGCGGGGGCCCGCCCCCAGGGGCTGCGCGGCAGCGTCGGCCCGCGGTCCGCGGCGCCGTGGCCCTCCCCCCGCCGGGAAGGCCGCGCCCGTGGGGCGCCGCCGTCGCCGTCGTGGTCGCTGCAGGGCTCGAGGGTCAGAGTGCTGCGCGCGTGGGCGGCGCGGCGTCCCGCCGGACCCGCGCCTTCAGGGCGGTGCGCGTGGCCGCTTTGCCATTGGAAGATATCATCCCTGTCCTTCGCCCGTCCTCGTCCTCCTGCCCCCTCCTCGTCCTCCCTCCTCCTCCTCGTCCTCCTTCTCCGTTTAGTGCACGCGGGCCTTCACTTAACCCTCTGTTCGATCGCAGGCCCAGCGGCGTGAAAGTTAGGGGGGGCGCTCTGTGCCTGAACCAACTATTGCGTAGCCCGGGCAGCGACGGGATAAGATTGAATGAAGTCGGGCAATTGTATGCCCCGACTTGTGTCTGGAAAAAGGTGGCCATCCCACGGGACTGGCAACTCATTGAAGGCTGCTGAACGTGCTCTTCCTGACATGAGATGGACTCACAACTTTTCGCTGCGATTATTTGAAAGAGCTTATCCTTAGTACACAGTGCACTGGGTCGGCTGGTTGTTGCTAATGTTCTGTCCTGCCTAACTTGTCGCGGGCTGTCGTCTGGTGTTCGAGGATGGGCGACACGGTGTGGCATCGCCACTCCCCACAGCCCAGTCCACGATGCAACCGAACCTGCAGAGCGGCGTCGTCTCCCGGGACCTTTGGTCGTTTGGTACTGGGCTGCCCTGCTGGGAGGCTGTTGCCACGACCGCCAAGATTCGGGCCTGGTATGCTTGCTACTCCGCTGGTTGGACTGGGAGGGAGTCGAAGACGAGAGCACTGCATCACAGTCTTTCGGAGCTCCGCGCGGATTCTTTGGATCGGCGTTGGGCCCCCTCCTGGCCGTGCCTCTGGCGCCGCACCTGGCACGTTCCGTGCGCCAGCTCGTGGGGTACAGCCCGCGCGGAGCTCCAAAACATGTTGTTTATGCAGTTGTGTCTTCGTCTAGTTGGTGCTGCTCTTTGACCGGGAGGCGCCCTGAGGGATAAGCTGGCATCCCAAGGCCTGCGCCGAGTTTCCCGTATTTTTTCCCGTGTGTATCTGAAAGACCCCACTCTCGACGTCGGCGCACATGATTTGACACTTGGAGAGTCTTGTTTTTCCCCTCTGGGCCATAACGCCCTCCCCCTTCCGCCCATAACAACGTCACGCTCTCCTCCCCAATGCGTCCCCGTCACTGCCGCAGTGCTCGGGGGTGGACAGAACCCCCAACAGTGACACGTCGATTAGTGAATTGTCCGTTTTCGGTTTTCGAGAAGGCGCCGTGGCCGTTATTTTCCAGGCTTGCGCCCGCCAGGTTTGGGCCTCAGGTCGTTTTCACTAAACCACGTTTTACTAAAGGGGGGTCTGTCCATCCCCGAAGTGCGTCCGGCACAACAGTCTGCGGTGCCGGACCCACACGGCGGGGGGGGGGTTGGGATGCCTCACTCCGCCCCCCCATAACGCCCGTTATCGCCGTATCGCCCCGAGTATAACTCAGGAGGAGAAAAAACACACAGACACAATTAATCGTCGATTCCCCAGAAAATATGGGAAAATATGGGAAGTGGGGGGGAAGACAGAAATCCAGTAAATATGGGAAAATATTGGGAATATTTTTATGTGTGTTTATTTATTTGTGTGTCCCAGGGCCCCTTCAATAACATGCTCTCTTGGCAGGTGGGGCGCCTCCCGCGTCTCCCGGTCTCTCGGCCGCCGGCGAGGCCTCCCGAGTCGGTTGGGCCCTTGGGGCCCGTCTTTCATCCCCTGGCGATAACTCAGAGCCCCGAGTCATCAGTGGTAACTCGGGTCAGGGGTAACTCGGGTTCGTTTTTCGGGAGTCCGAGCCCGACTTACCCCGGACCCGAGTTACCCCGGATAACTCGGGCGCCCAGAGCCCCGAATCATCAGGGGTAACTCGGGTCAGGGCTAACTCGGGTTCGTTTTTCGGGAAGCCGAACCCGACTTACCCCGGACCCGAGTTACCCCGGATAACTCGGGCGACCAAATAACGGCCCCTACCGGCGGGGGGGGTAGGGAGGGCCGAGGGGGCTGGTAACGTCGTCACGATTCGCGCCGGCGCCGCCGGTGGGAAGCAGTTACCTCTAGCCATTCCCAAGCGGTGCCGGCGCGAACCGTGGAGTTGCCAGGTGGGGGGGAAGTGGGAGAGCATCCTCGGCAAAGGCCGATATCGCGAATCGTACAACGCGCTCTTGATTTCGAAGATGAATGTTGCTTGCATGCGCTGGGCGTGCTGTTGAGCATAGCGCTGCTGGTCCACCATGCAGGCCAGGTGCACGGCGTTGGTCCGTGGGTGCCATCTACGGGAACACTGCCGCCTTGCACGTGGACGCAGGCATGGCTGCTGGACCGATGGGTGGCGGAGGCGCTAGCGGTGGCGGCGGCGGGGGCGGCACTAATCTTTCTCTGGGGTCCTGTGCTATGCGCACGTCGCCTCCCTCCGTTGCCTTCTCTTCTGCTGTTCCTGCTTCCACTGCATCTCGTAGGGCCCGTCCTATAAGTGCTCGAGCTGGAGGTGGCACTGTTTCCTGCTGCTTTCTGGCTGGGGGATCTGGCCGTCTATTTGATCGATCTTTGTGGCGAGCTCTTGCTGTTCCTTGCGGTTGCGTATCCTTCTTGTTTGCACTGGTTCCAGGGCTGCTAAACACCATTTGTTCATCGCCAGCTCCTCTAGACTCTAACCAGGGTTCGTCCTCCGCTCCAGCCAATCGGGTGGCTAAGATCAGGGTAGCAAGGATGCGAATGCTCTTCCTCAAGTCTTGGTGGGAACCTTCGGCCTCGTGCTGGGAGCGGGCTCGAATTTTGGATGAGCCTTCACCGCAGCGGCCGACGATGTCGGGGTCGCGTTGATAATTTGCTGTTTCTGTGAGCCCGCGGTAGCCTCGCCCCTCTGCTGATGCCTTTCGGTTGGTACAAGTGTGGGCGCATTCTCTATCGCTGTGCACGCCCATGTCCGCTGCTGTCTGTCGTTCGTCATCCATCCTCGCTCCCATCCTCGCACCTCCCCAGGATGTTGCCGCTGTGTGATTTCTATGTTTTATTAGTGGCTGGTTGGGCCGCAGGATATCCTCACACAGCGCCCTTTTCCCTTCTCCTCCCCCCGCCCCCTCCTCCCCCGCTCCTTTCTTCCTCCTCTTGCTGGCGACGCTGCAGGACTGTAGTGGCAGGGGGATTGCTTTCACACTGCCGGCAAAGGCGTGGGTAGTTGGTCTGGGTGTCGCTTCGTGGTGGAAGAACAAGGAGAAGACGAATAAGAAGAAGAGGAAGAAAGCTCTGCTGATGCCTCTCTGGCAGGCGCGACGAAGTCCGTCTGGCTGGGCGTCTGTTCTTGGTTCTGCGAGGGGGCCTTGGCGTCGGAACTCTGTACCTGCCAGCGTGGCCCCCAACACTGCCCGCACCTGTCTGGCACCCCCTTGTCGCACGTTCCGCAGTGCCGCGTCCCTACCATCTGCTGCTGTAGCCTCCCGACTGGACACGAACGGGCCCGCAAAGGCACGGAGCGTGACCCGGGCAGAGGACCTGCTGAGTTTCTTGCTCGGTGTGCCCAGGGATCGGGAAAAGGGCAGGGCTGGCCAGCTTACCTGGGAGATGCTTTGTCGAGCCAAAGTTGGACTGACCTGCACGTCCGAGCCGCGCGTGCGCTCGCCAGCCCGTCCACAGGCGCACCCGCTCTCGCCGCCGCCGTCGGTGATGATTGACGAGCGGTCGTCTCCCCTGGGCTGTCGTCGCATTTGGGAGCTGTGCCCTGGAAGCAGCAGGGGCATGGGACCGACTCGCCCGATCCCAGGCACTTGCTGGCTGCCGCGCTTCAGGCTGGAGTCCGGGGGCAGAGCGTAAGGGATCGTGAGCCGCGCAAATTTGCAGGGAGGCTGCATGGGACAGTGCGCACTAGACACATCAAGTAAGAATCATGCCTGCCTTCATGTGCCCCTTCGGATATGTCATGTCCCCCGATGGCCCCGGGGACACGGAATTCCTCGGCCACTTTAGGCGAGGTAGAGCGTATGAGTGATTCCCAGTTGTGTACGAGTTTTCACGTCAGTAGCGTTCCTCAGCGTACGTACATCTGTTTTGCAAGCGGGTGCGAGGGGAATATCGCGCGGCAGGTGCGGGCAGGGTTGGATTGTGCTACTTCTGGGGCAGCAGTCTTACATGTGAGGGCCGTTAAACAGTCTGGTATGCCATGGGCATGCTTCGGTGTCCGTTACGATGCAAATACTGCGTTGCATAAACCTGGACTTGTTACATTGTTCGCCACGCTGTAAGGCAGCCTTGACGCGTGTATCAGGTTGTGTCCGTCAGTGTGCAGCTGGTTGCAATGTATCATGCTCAAGCGTATGCCAAATGTTGTTTTGTCTGTCTGTTATTAAGGTCAACACCTGGTCATGCTCATTTCGGAAAGCGCCATGGAGGTTCATCCATCCCGAGGAGCCTTGCACAAGGTCACCCTGAAGCCAGGTGAACTGCACAGGCCAGATATAGCGTGGCCAACGGTGCTGCTCGCTGTTTTCAGCATCATGCTCTGGACATCTGTTGCTGCTATCGGTGTTGTTCGCGAATGGGCGCCTTACTTCACAGTGCCAGTCTCCACAGCGGCTGTGTACATGAATTTCACCCCGCTCCATGATGCTGCTCACGCGAGTGTTTCCCGTAAGTACAGGTGTTTGAACCAGGCAGTCGGATGGATGTGTAGCGTGCCCTTCCTCATAGTGCCATTCCCACTTTGGACGTGGGCCCATCTTCAACACCACAAGCATACAAATGACCCTGAAAACGATCCGGATTACAATGAATGGAGAATCCACTTCTGTATGTTCTTTCGAACGTCCCCAGATTCGTGCATCACATCGTCCGGAACTCCAGGGCCATTCCAGGGTCAGCATTTGCGTGGTCAGCGCTTCAGCTGTGCGCAGTAGCAGCAGGAGTGTCGATTGGCGTTGAGAATGGCTTGGGTGGTGCGCTCCTGCAGTACGCGTTCGTGCCAGCTCTGGTCGCGGTGCCGCTACTCGGCGTCGTCTTCGAGTACGTGCCACACGCTTCCAACAGAGCGGCACGCAAGGACGATCTATACGGGTGCACGGGCATTGTCGGTGGAGTGTTCACGCGGGGGAGTGGACCCAGCACTCGCGTATCAACTTTGCTGCTGTGCGGGCAGAACTACCACGCAATCCACCACTTGTACCCCTCGGTGCCATTCTACGCCTACGGAGATATTTGGAGGAGCCACCAGAGCGCATTCTTGCACGCAGGCGTTCCGATGCTTTCCCTCAGGGAGTGCTTTCAACCGAGGCGGCATTGGGGCTGATCGTCCAGGAGCACGCAGCATCCAGTGGCTGCCGGTGCAGAACTGGCGCCTGCAGCGCGAGATCCGTCGTGCCATCGCGCTCACCGACGCTGTGCGGGCAGTACAAATCTGCCAGACGACACAGAGACTTGGCATCGCTCGGACGTGTGCATTTTTTCTTCGGCGAGCACCATTTAGGAGCATATCTAATTTTTGTTCGAAAAGTAAGGCCCGAAATCGAAACATATGCCGGAAATGGACGTCCGCGCGATGGCAAGGAACGCGGACTCCCCCCATTCTGACTCACCAGCTCGTGCCGGTTTACCTTGCACGGCGATTCGCGCAGACCGCCTCCAAATTGAGAGGCTCCTCCCTCACGGTGCTCCGCCTCCTCCTTCCGCCAAGGGTGTGGGGGGAATTGGCGCCCCTCACTCCACAGCACGGTGGAAAGCGAACACGGGTTGGTGGATCAGAGAAGTACCGCTTTCGAGTAGTCGAGTTGCCAGTTGAATTTGGCTTCTGCAGGAGTCACAAGAGTTGAGCTCCTATGGTTGCCAGAAGACGCTACCAGAGCGTTTTGCGAAAGAGGATGCTGCATAGTACTGCATACGGCATTCTCCATCAGGACCGCATCCGAGTCGCTTTTCGCCGCGCGAGATGCGAACACGCGATCACGCGATTCGCTGGGCTCCCACAGCTGTAGCCAGAAGGCAAGCCGATCATCTACGCAGACCTGGCCGAGACGAAAACACGCTGGTGGCCCTTCTCCTCCCCTTCCCCTCTCGCCCCAAGGCGTCTGCGCATGCCCACAGAGGATGTGGCCTGCCCTCCGAGGCGGAGGCCAGGAGAGTGAGGAGAAGGAGAAGGACCAGAGCAATCCGAGGATGTGCCGACGATGCTGCAATACAGTAAGGGCTCGACCACAAGAAACCTTCCACAAGAAACCCAACCCTGAGACCCCCGGACGTCCATTGATCTTCGGTGCGGGGACGGCACGCTTTCCAGAGCACAAGCACCGACACCCAGGAAACCCAGGGAACCCTGGAGGCAAGCAGGGTGCTTCTTGGCATGGGTTTCCACGGTACACCTTAGGCGATGCTGAAGAAAACCCAAGTTTTCGGCCAGAGTCTCGAGTATTCTTAATGTTTCAATGTAGATCCTAAGACTTGACTAGACATTCTGGGCTTTTATCCGAATTCTGAGACTATGAATTTCTTAACCCATGATTCCTTAAGCATTTCGCAGGGTGTATGCCCTCCCGTCTCGCGGCCCGGCCTCACGAGCTCATTTCCTTTCGCTGCGGGAAGTGCCCCCCCCTGCACAGGCGAGCGCCCCACGTGTCTGCCACAACAAGCGAGCCCCCACGCTCTGGAAATACTGTGGAAACCCATGCCGAGAATTAGGTCGGGCCTGTCCCTCTACAGGGGGAATGTCCAAAAATAGTCAACTAATAGCCAGGGGGCGATGTTGTTCTACTATTTTTGAGCATCTTCGCATATGTCCGACTATTGCAATTTGTTCTTCCAGAACCCCCCTGTAGGGGGACAGGCCCGACCTAAGCCAAGAAACACGTTGCTTGCCTCCAGGTTTCCCTGGTTTTCTTGGGTTTCGGTGCTTGTGCTCTGGAAAGCGTGACGTCCCCGCACCGAAGATCACTGGACGTCCTGGGGTCTCAGGGTTGGGTTTCTTGTGGAAGGTTTCTTGTGGTCGAGCCCCTACTCTAATCCAGTCTCTTATCGCGCGCTTGTGTATACACAATGTTGGAGCTTGGGCCACCGGACCATAGGACACCCCAAGCGTGAGCCTCACGTGGGAAAGGAGCTGCGCGCAACTGTTTTGCCTGTGCCGCTCCCCCTCTGCGCTGCTGCTATGCTGCATGGCGTCACGAGAAACGGTCTTCTCCGCCACGGCGAGAAGCTTCGGGCGAGCGGCTGGGACGAGGGTGAGTCCGTTCCACGGCGTTCCGGAGCGCTCCCGGAGCGCTCCGCAGCGCTCTGAGAAGGCCGCGGCGCCCGGGGCATCCTCCGGAGCCGCCAGCTCTCAGAGGTGATCGATGGATCCTCGCCCGAGGTTGCCCTCCTCTTGGCCTCGTCTCGTCAGGCTCCTCCGGCGCGCCGCTCACCCTCCACTCCCTAAGGGCTTGTCGACTTTTCGCCAATCGACTTGTGAGAATCGAGCCAGATAAACCCAGGTAAATGCAGATAAATCGAGGTAAATCCAGGTCAATCCAGGTAAATCTAGATAAATCTGGGTAAATCCAGGTAAATCCAGAGATCTCCAGGGAAAGTTCGAGCACTTCGCGGCCGCTCCAGCGCGAGTCGAAGGACGGCAGAAGTCGTTAAGCCTTTAACGATCCACCCGTGCCGCTGTGCGAGCCGCTGCGCTTCGAGAGCTGGCCGGCCTGCGTCTCGGGCCGCCGCGCGTCGCCTCCGGCTGCGGGATCGACGACAGGATCGAGTTTAACTCAGGAGGAAAAGAAACACACAGACACAATTAATCGTCGATTCCCCAGAAAATATGGGAAAATATGGGAAGTGGGGGGGAAGACAGAAAGCCAGAAAATATGGGAAAATATGAGGAATCTTTTTATTTGTGTGTATTTATTTGTGTGTCTCAGGGCCCCTTCAGTCTCGGGCAGCCGCGCGTCGCCTCCGGCTGCGGGATCGACGACAGGATCGAGTTCAACCCCAGCGCGGAAGTTCTCGTCGAGTCCACGGGCAAGGCGTGGAGTGCTCTGGAGGCCCGCGGGAGCACTGTGCGCATGCTCGCAGACCGCCGCGAGTTGGCAGCGTGGCAAAAGGGACGCGGCCGCGCATGCTGCTCGGGAGCGTCGGTTTTGGCGAGTCGCGCCGCCGGTTCTGGCCCGCTACGCCTCGGGGCGCGACACGCTACCCGCGTCCTAGTCCCCAGACGTCGACGTCCCGCGCTTTTCCCAGCCTCCCACCCCGCGGAGCGGAGCGACACGCTGTCAGGTCGGAGGGCATTGATTGCGTTACCGGGGCCGCAGCCGCGACATGCTAAGCCAACGTTACTAATCGCAGTGTGCTTGTGTGTGTGCGTGTATGTTTGTGTATGTGTGTATAAGGATAAGCAGATACATTCCTTCTCGAATATTCTTATATGGACCCCCCCGTACGGACCCCCCCCCCGCACGGACCCCCCCCCATCGGGAAGAAATTCGAATCTTCGGTTCTGGGGGCTCCTCCAGGCCATCCCAAGCCGCCAAAGCAGGCCCAGGATCGCTTCCTGGACGGTCCCGCGGAGCACCGAAACGGCCCAAGACCGCTCCAGAACGCCCAAGTTGGTCTCAGCACTGCCCAAGAGGGCCCCAAGACGCCCCACGAGAGCCCGAGGATGGCCCCCAAGAGGGCCCTTACGCCAAAACTTATTGATTTGCCTCAGGTGTTCGATCGATCTTAGCGTTCTCGCTTTTTCGACCTTCCGACCGCGCAAGCCGGCCCGAGAGGCCCCCAAGGTCGCCCCAAGACGGCCCAAGTGACCCCTAAGATGGCCCCAAGGCGGCCTACAAGGCCTCCAAAACTGCTCAAGAAGGCCCCAAGACAGCCCAAAAAGCCCCGCAATGCGGCTGAAGATGGCCCCCAAAAGGACAACCCAAACTGACATTTCGAGCGTTCCCCCCCAACATGGCCCCAGAGACAGCCGAGGGGCCCCAAAGATACATTCAGATGCACCCAAGAGGCCGTCAAGAAGCCCCCAAAGCCCCTAAGGCGTCTTCAAAAGACCCTCCTGGGAAACCCCAGAAATGCTTCAATGATCTGATCGCGGGGCCCCAAGAGATCACAAGACGTCTCCCATACAGGCGTCTGCAAGTTCCTCACGTTCCACAGGTCCCAAAGGTCTCGCAGGTTTCAGAGGCCCCACAGGTCCCGCACGCTCTTCAGGGCGAACAGGTCCCACAGGTCTCGCAGGTCCCACAGGTCCCCCCAGGTCCCACAGGTGTCGAAGGTCCCCCTGGTCCCGCAAGTCTCGCAGGTCCCACAGGTCCCACAGGTCCCAGAGGTCCCGCAGGTCCAACAGTTCCCATGGGTCCCACGGGTCTTACGGGCATCACAGATCTCACAGGTTTGACAGGTCCCACTGGCCCCACAGGCCCCACAGGTCCAACAGGTTGACAGGTCTCGCAGGACCCACGCAGGTCCCGAACGTTCCACGAGTCCCAAAGGTATCGCAGATCGCAGGTACCACAAATATCACAGGTCCCACAGATCCCACAGGTCCTACTACAGGTATCGGAAGCCCCGCAATTCCCACAGGTGTTGCAAGTCCCATGGGTCCCACAGGTCCCACAGGTGTCGCAGGTCTGGTAAATCCGCAGGTCCCATAGGTACACTAGGTCCCTTGGGTCACCATTGCTGCTACTAGAGGGCTTTACTGGGGTCATCGTGTTTTCCGTGTTGTCGGAATTCCTCTCCAAGGATGGAGTTGCTGTGCCCCGATGCAACCGTCCAGTGGTTGGTGTTTTCTGAGAGGAGGAGGAGGCAGAGGAGGAGGATGAGGAGAAGGAGGAGGACGGGGAGCTGTAGCAGCACTTGCAGGAGCTCCCAAGTTTCAGCTCCTGTTCCAGCTCCAGCTCGGCTCCAGCTCAAGCCCCAGATCCAGCTCAAGCCCAGCTCCAGCCCCAGCACCAAGAAACATTAACCCCAGGGAGCTCTTCGTTCCTGTTGAAACCAATCGGCCCCTTTGCCGTTCAAGCTCATGGAGACATGTGACCACGTGACCCTCATGAACAGTGCAAGCCTCGTGCGCCCTAGAGCCTTCGGGGGGCCTTCCGGACCCGTGGCGCCCGCCGCCTCTAAAAGCTCTGCGACCGCGCCGCCCCATTCCCCCATTTCCAGTTGACGTCAATGGCGGTCGCAGCGCACCTCTCGCTGGCGCCATGCGACCAAGATTGCAACGGCGAAGCGTAGCGAACCGGTAATCTCTCACACATGTGTGTATATAGACAAAGTATATTTATGTGTGTAGATGTCTGCATTTGTATATACGTATGAGTGTGTATA